CATTTATTAGTATGAAAAGATTTATTTAATGTAAAATATGTCATGACTTCTAGATCATCATTTATATATAGAAACACTTAAATTCTTATCGTAATTGAAATATCTCAAACAGAGTTTTAAAATTCTTGCTATTAGTGTAATGAAAAAAAAAACAATAATTCGATTTGCTTTACTCAGATAATATGAAGCCGATTTTGTCGTGGAAACTCAAAAAAAACAATTTTGAATGAAGGACTCGATTGTCTTATTGTTTTCTCCCCAAATCCCTCATTAATCATCAAGAAATATAATCAATATTGCTATTAGCAAGTCACACGTGGTATATGCTGTTATGACGGGAACTCGGTATTATTCCCAGCAATTGTCACAAAACGAAAGGACAAAAGCGAACCAGATAAGAAAGAATCGATCATGAAAATCGTTACAATTTGTTTTTTATTGCACATAAACGATGATAGTTCTCTTCTATTTCATTATTCGCCAACCGGGAGAGTAAATTCTGCCTATCAACATCCAGCGAATGGATCAACTAGGAAAACAGAATACGTGATAATGTTACAGTTGCCTTGATTAAAACAGAAAACGTTTCACCAATAACATACATAAACTATTTAAACAATTATGGAATGCATTTTAAAATATTTAAATGATCAATTCAACAGTAACAAACGTAGAATTAGCCGAACCATTTCAAATTGTGCCCAATGAAAATAGAAGGCCTCACTATTATGAAATATAATCTCATGTATGGAACAACTTGATATGGTGTGTTGGTTTTTTTTTAAATAAAAAAACCAATGTGGAATGATAAGATTTTTGTAGTTTAGCACTGATCACTTCAGTAATTCCATTATTAGCACTGACTATTGGTCTTTTTTTCAAACCAAAATGCTCCGGTGAATGACAACATTCCTTTATTTATGATTACTTCAAGTTCTAGTTGTCTTGTGCTAATTGGCTTATCTATTACCCTTATAATGAAAGTGTTTATTTTTCGAGACTTTGATCAATATATAATTTATTTGAAGAATTAAAATGAGAACAGATATTGCCAATGAATTAAATCCGAATAGAAATGATAAACTTCCAACAGTAGTTATGTGTCTGTTAAATGTAGCAATAGGTATTTTAATTTTACTCCTACTCATCTGGCTTTTTTTTTTGGATATGTATGGATTTGCAAAGTAAGAGCAATTATTCAATTCATTGAACCAACGATAATAAAAACTTACTGTCATCCTCTCTTATACTATTCATCATTTTTTTATTTTATTGTGTCACGTATAACAAATTTTATTTTCTGTCTGATATTACGCAGTTTTCGAGATGGATTTATAAGTAGAAACAACTATGATTTTGTTTTATTATTTGTTGAAATATTTACAATTGAAATAGCATAAATTCAAAAGTGAATTGATAATTTTAAGATGATCTATTCATACACAATTGATATCTTTAATTTATCTGAAATTGACAACGGATGTTTTTTTTGTACATAATGAATAGATATTACATTTATTAAATCATTTTTGTGTTTTTTTACATCTAATTAAAAGCTTTATTTCTGAAGTTGTATGTTGTTTGAAAAGCAAGATATGAGCACGTAATTATTCTATTCATAATTCTACTTGACATATAATCTATATCATAATGACGTGTAATAATAATTCTCTCAGAATTTTTTTTTGTATAGGTTTCAGATCTCAGCTAATTAAATAGAAGCACAATCGAGATATTAAATTTACAAATCTTTTTTTTTTCTATAGGATCTCATCAGGAAGGTAGAAGAAAATAATATGCTGAAAAATTTTGGTCAATCAATTGATGTAGACGAATATTGAAAAATAAAAATATGAAAACAAAAATAATGTGTTATATATATATATATATCTTTATAATACTCGACGTTCAACAAATTTTTTAATCCTATCTACCAGATATATGTTATTAAATGATTCATTTTTATTTTTAAAAAAGCTCCGAAGCTGTTCTATTCCAAACAAAGGATAGCTTTCTATATGATGTCGACAATCTTCTGTTCAATAGTATTTCGAGAGACTCTAATTTTTATGTTCTATTTAATCAAAAAAGTATTTTATCTATTTCGTAGAATTTCATTGATAATAGAATTGATGTAAAAAAGAGAGTAAATGATTTTTAATGAATTAATGAAATGAAAATTTTCAAGTTGAGTCGTTTGAGGACTTTTTTCTAATGTCATCTTATATAAAAACTATTATGATGATGATGCGCCTCAGAGATGAGATTAGTTCGTGATTGTTTATCTTGTCTCATATCTTCCTATCGATGAGTTTACAGCTGAATATTCACAACTCAAAAACAAATTCTTTATTCATATTCTTCAACAATAAAGAGATATCAATTGTTTTTCTTTTTCTGTTTCCTTCAGCTGTTATCGTATAGACTTTCATAATCTCTTGTAAAGAATTGCAATACAATTGTAGGCAGTAGAAGTCAAAATATAGTTACGCAATTTATGAATAAGAAAAGTAATTTAGACTTCCGTGAACTCTAAGCAGACTTGTTCTCTAGACATTTGATTTCTTCTCGTTGATGAAACACATACAGAAAAAAAACAACAGCTTTTTCTATTTCTATTAAAAAATAGTTAGCAAACAAACAAATGAGACATGTTTATATTATTATTTTCTGTTAACCTTTAATATGTACTACTTTGTCAACTTAACCCGTTTCTTTATTATACCAGAATGTCATATTTATTATTATCATAATCAAAATAATAATTATCTTCTGTATGAAAAAATTCTTATTATTTAAATCAAATAGATTACAGTTATTGTGTGAACAAAAACTTTACTAATTTTTAGAATATAATGTCTTAAATAATATGAATAGGAAATTATTCAAGCAAGAATAAAATTTATTCATTATCTTAAAGTATTGTATTCTTTTTTTCTTGTTTAATTAAGCATAAATTCTAATAGTACTTGATATTTTTTTTTAAGACATAAAGTTGTACTTTTGTTTTTTATTTTCTTAAAGTATTTTTATTTAGAATCAACATAATATCTTCGAATATTTTATCTGTGAATATTTCATCAAAACATGAGGTAATTAACTATTCAAATAATATAAAATGTCGATGTGTGAAACCAAGTCTAATAAAAACAAAAAACTAAGGTCTCTCTAATATTTTTAACCAATCAAAATTTTGTTTTTTTTTCCTTCAACAGATTCTTTTTTTCAGTATCAATTACATTTATTAAAAATTCAATAGCTGTAAATTATTAATCATGACACATGACTTCAAGACTAATGTCTTATTCATACATTACTGAAATATCCATAGACACAACTTATTCACTCCATTGACAAAAACAGTCAAAGAAAAATTTGCAAGGAAATGAAAGACATGTGTCACTACATAAACAATAACATTATGTTTATTCATACTACAAAAAAAAAATCATAAAACGGATTAAATTTGTTAAACTATGCCTAAAATGAAATTTTACTTCATGGTTATTTCGATTAAAATCATATGACATATATACTACAAGGAAATGATCAAAAAAAAAGATAATTCATTCTATGAATCAATCATAAAACCAACATTTTATCGTTTATCATTACTTCAGATATACATTGAACGCACTGTCTCTCGTCGATTTTTCTTTATCTTGCATATTTATCATCACGTTACAAACATAGAAGACATTTGTCCAAATTAGATATCGTCATGTTGAGGGAGTGAAAGGGCATGTTGTATATGCATCATTATTTATCGTTTACGTTTGTACGTATATGATTTTTTTGTGACCGTAAAATGAGCATCGTCATCATTTGCTCGAACAACGTTTGATAGTGTCTATGACTGTTTACTAAGAGTAATTATTATAGAAGGTTTTTTTCTTTCGAGCATAAATTATTCTTTCTTGGTAGAATCGAAAAGTAAGTAGAATTTGATCGATAACATTCGGTTTTTTTTTTCAACCAACAGCATCAGATAAATTTCTTGCGACTACTACTGATTATATCGGATTTCATTTTCTCATCATATATATATATATAACTACAAAAAGTTGTACGTATATTATACTCTATATCGAGTGGAGTTAATTCACATGTTAGCAGGAAGTTAACACGACATGTCAGTTTATATCTCAACGGAAATAAGCAAAAAGAAGCGAAGATTCTTTAATTTTCTTTTAGAGATTATTATTAGCATTATCAAGCGTACTTTACACGCTTGATGTGGAAACTTACAAGAGACAAATACCCATTTTGTTCGATGCTGTTAGCAAAAAAAAAAAAGAAGAACCCATAAAAACGGCGGTATGACGGTTTTGATGAAAGAAAAAAATCCGAGAGAGAGAGAGAGAGAGACGAGCAGAGAACGAGGAAAGGAGAAAAAAATGGAAGGAAAAAGAAAATAACAGCAGACTGCGACGTTTGATGTAATGCGTACTTATGAATGAATGAGAGAGAAACAGTGAGAGGAAAATGTGCTAGTAGATCAGAGAGATGAAGAAAAAAAAAATATATATATATACAACTCGATCATACATTCCAATGTAATGAGTAGTAGGTCATTTATTGATATTATAGAAGTAATAACAGTATATCCATACTGTTCGCTTATCTTGTTTTATATCAATGTTATTTGTACAGTCCATGATCTGTTGTTCTTTTCTCAGCATTTTTCCCACATACAAGATTAGATTGCTCGATGTTGATTGAAATTAAACGTGACTATTCTATGTTTATTGACCAGTAGGGAATATGGTATGATATTTTTTCTTTTATATTCTGTTATTTAAAGATAAAATTATTGCACAGCTCAGCCAGATAAGAAAGCATGACATCGATAAATAGTATGCTTAACATATGCAAACCATAGATTAGACAGGATTTATAGTTCACAATGAGTATATAAATTTTATTAGTTTCTCATTTTTTTTTCAGATTTTTCTTGTGTTTAATAGATATATATATATATATATAGGTAAGTGTTAATTATGGGAAATTCTTTACCTCAAATAAATTCTCAACGAACGATAAGAACATCTACAAGTGAATCAGAATATTCAACATTAAAAAAATCAACTAGTTTACGAGAATATAATCGTAGTACATCATTAATTACTAGTTGTATAAATAATAATAATAATCGAAGAAACATTTCAATTTCAAGGCCACGAACAATAGCCCCAACTGATGCCGAAATAATTGATATTCATGCACTACGTTGTAACACATCAAATACAAATGAAGGTGAAAAGAAGTTATTGAAACAACTTGACTATATTCATTCATGTGTACGAAAAGATAAAGGTTTATTTGGTAAGTATCAACATTCAGAAAATAAAAAAACATACTAAAATCTTTTATTTACTTTAATCAAAAAAACACAAAAAGGTATGATGACGGAAAATTTACAAAATAAACATATTTTTTCAAATGATGAACCAGAAAATACACATGTATTAGAACAAACACCAGATGATTATAATATGGATTATGAATCAATTTATTTACAAACACCTGATGGAGAATTTATACATTCTTATTGGATTTATCAAATGGGTGATGTTAATTCAACCATGACAGTTTTATATTTACATGGTGCAGGTGGAAATATTTCACATCGACTTGAAGTTCTACGACTTTTCTATGAAAATCTTCATTGTAATATTTTAATTATTGACTATCGGGGTTAGTAGGAATTATCCTTTTTCTTTGACGTAATATCATCTGATGCAGAAATGTCTTAAGGTCGCCAGGAATGAAAGAGAGCATGATGACTCAAGAGACTAATTAGAAAATTTTCTTGAGATTGACTGAACTTTGGAAGGGTTGAGTATATTTTTTTTCTTTTGGAATTAGTGAATAAATCCGTTGAAGAAAAAAAAGAAGATATGAGGAAGGTGGGGGGGGGGGCGAGTCATTGCCTTAGGGACACCTTTGTTCTGATATAAATATATGTCTAGACAAGCATAATTGATTTATTTATCTAATTAGGCTTTGGTAAAAGTTCGGGCTCTCCAACTGAACTTGGCCTTTATATTGATGCTCAGACAGCATATGATTATTTAATATATAAACAAAAAATTTTGCCTGAAAATATAATTGTTCTTGGTACAAGTCTTGGTGCATCTGTTGCTATTCAACTTGTTAGTGATCCATTAAATCATGTTAAATTAGCTATATTTGAAAATGCTTTTATATCTGTACCTGAAATAGCAAAATATTTTTTAACCTATGCTAAAAGTGTTATTGGTATAACAAAATCTATTGGTTTTATTTATTTATTTGATTCATTAACAAAAGTACGTCGTGTTGAATGTCCATGTATGTATTTAACTGGTTTACTTGATCCTATTATACCACCATGGATGTCAAATACATTATATAATGAAACACGTTCATCAAGTAAACGTCAATTATATGAATTTCCATTTGGTAAACATAATGATTTACCAATAATGAAAGATTATTTTGAAAATATACAAACATTTATTAATGAATTATCATTAAAAAAATCTGACATAGAACAAACGGTGCTTAGATAATTAATTTATTCTTCTGTTGTTATATAAATATATAGATATATATATATTTGTTTATACATATCAACAGATATACATATATATATATATATAAATAATGTCAATAATTTTTTGGAATTTTTGTAAAGAAAATAATGAATAAATAGTTGTGCTTTCTTTGGCTCAAAACATTTATTTAATTGAAAGGAAAAAAAAACCATTCATGTAAATTCTTTTTTTTTTAAACTTTATGATCATTAAAGAGAAAAAAAGGTATTACAATATGGTTAATAGATTAACCACTGTTTACAATATGCTTGAATTGTCATCGATCTATCAGACAATAGCGACAAAACCAGATGACAACGAAATCTTTCCAAGTACAAGCCCTTGAGTTGCACTTAAAAATGAACTTTAGTGTCAATAGTAGCGTTATTTTGGAGTGTCTGTCTCCTCTATGCACATAGTCTGGAAGTTGGACCCCTCCCGAATGGAAGACCATGAGCTTTCCAAACATTTTTTTTCTTGTAAAAAATTCTGATTTCCCAGCACTTGGTTGTTAAAAATGCCTGTTTTAATACCAGAAAAGTTTTTTAAAAATTCTTAGTTTTCTAGGTAAATGTTAACAAAAAAACTAGTCTGTAATAGAAAGCCACGATCGTTTATTCAAAGGAGAGGTTTACTTATTCTACTATTGTTTCTTTTCGCTGAGTGCTAAAATAAGAAAATCGATATAATTACATCTATTTGAGTCTTGTAGTGATTAACCCTCCCCTGCCCCACTCCCATAGTAAAAGATTTCCGGTCTTCTATTGTAGTCCAGTTATTTCAATAATTTTTCATTGTAAGGATTTTGAAAGTTTGAAAAGTCGAGAAATAATGCTGATCTCAATTTTTTAGAACTTTCAGCTCAAGATTCTGAAAACTAGGTATATTCTGATGTAAACATATTAAATAAATAAAGACCGAATTTTTTAAGAATTTAATTAATTAAGAGAGGAAAAGTATTTTATTATATTCGACGCATCATTCCTTCACGAGGATCTTCTATTGTATGGGAACGAAATACATTTCTTTTGTGAGAGTCAACGCACATTGTATGAAAAGAAAAACGTGCTACGATGCACATCTATCATTATCTAACAGTCATGTGTCAAAATCAGATGATGTCATAAGACAATTTATTATTCTACGAAATAAATATAGTCTCACTAGTTCAGCAAAATTTGACTTGAACATTATTCTTTATTTCGATCAATGACATACAGTTTTATTCACTTTAAGGGATAGTGAATAATGGAGCCTGTCTGATCTAAAATTTTCACACCTGCACTCACCAAGTTCTAATGAACAATGATGAAATTGATCTGTACGTAAGAAGAAGGCTAAAATTAGACTTTAGTGTTATAGATAATTATGGCATTAATACGTTTGAAATTCAAACTAGATTTTCATTTGAGATTAATGCAAAAAAAAAATTTATATGCACGCTCACATAAGCGATATCTATCATTATTACTGTTACATGTAGTAGTTTAGCATATTAAAAAACATTAAACTTTTCATCATATTTATCTTTCTTATCACGTCTTGAAAGACATAAATCAATATAGACCTAGTTATTTTTTGCGTTTCTCTGTCAATTTATATAGAAAAAAAAAGTATCAAACAGACTCGAAGAAAGAATGATCCTTGACCTTTACAGAATCAAAACTTGAGTATATATTTATTGATTGTTTCGACTATTTTTTAAATGTAATTACTCAATATTTCATCAACTTTCATTAACATGAAATAGAAACAAAATAATTTTTTCTTTCATCATTCTTTGATATTCTTATGAAAGAACCCGACTCGTATGTCATCATAAAATGAGAAAATTTATCTCTTACATCAGCTTGTTAGTTGTTTTTTGAATGAAATATATAAAAAGTTTGAAAAAAAAATCGAATTCTATTCTTTTTAAACAACAATGCTCGAAGAAATGAATATAGATCGTTCTGAAATAGAAAATTTACTAAGACGAAGGTTTTTTTATGATCAATCGTTTTCAATATATGGTGGTGTCAATGGTCTATATGATTATGGTCCAGTTGGTTGTGCAATAAAAGCAAATATTTTAAGTCTATGGCGTCGACATTTTATTTTAGAAGACCAAATGCTTGAAATTGATTGTTCTATCTTAACACCTGAAATTGTATTTAAGTAATTTTGTTTTTTATAAAAATTTATGTAAAAAGGAATTATTACTGTTATATTCTTGTAGAGCATCTGGTCATATTGATCGATTTACAGATTTTATGTTGAAAGATATTCAAACAGGTGAATGTTTTCGAGCTGATCATTTAATTGAAGGTAAATGAAAAATTATATTTTTATCAAATTAATTCTTTTCTTTTTTGTTTTTATCGAATAGATCATCTTGAAAAATTACTTGAAATAAAAGATATTTCTGATGAAAAGAAAACTGAAATTAAACGAATATTACCACAAGTAAATTTCGACAATGAAATCATATGAATATAATTGATTATTATATTTAGATTGGTAATATGAATGCTACAGATTTACAGCAACTTATAGAACAATATAATATAAAATCACCTAATACAAATAATAATCTTTCAGAACCTATTGCTTTTAATTTAATGTTTTCGACTCCAATTGGTCCGACAGGTCAAATGAAAGGGTTAATTAAATGTTCAATTTTTAAAAAATATTTTCTAATATTTAAAAATCTTATTATTTATTTTAGTTATCTTCGACCAGAAACTGCTCAAGGCATGTTTGTTAATTTTAAAAGATTATTAGAATTTAATCAAGGTCGATTACCATTTGCGGCTGCTCAAATTGGTACTTCATTTCGAAATGAAATATCACCACGATCAGGTTTACTTCGAGTTCGGTACATTAGTTTTGTATTTAAAAATTTTTCTTTTAATATTATTCTAATTCAAAAACTAATAGTTTCGAATTAGGAAAAAGTTTACCCTTCAGGAAATATTTGAATCATTCTTTTGAAGAATCATCTATGTCATTTGCTATTTCATTGGTTTTCTTTCTTTGTCTTTAAAATTGTCATACAATCGAGAGAATATTCAGTGAAGTTGAAAGATAAGATACAATTAAACTATTTTCAGCATTCGTCATAATTTGTTTCACAGAGAAGAGATTCAAATTTCTATTTATAATCATTTTTCTAAAGAAACGAGGCTCTTTCTCGAGGTTTCACTTTCACAGAAGACGACCATCTTAACTGTTTAAAATACAATTTATAGTTTCCAGCGGAATGATTTTAGATATGATGCGAATAAATTCTGGAATAGTTTCCTCTAGATCGGGATTCGAAAAACTAAAATCATTTGAGACCTGGGCCAATATGAAAAAAAGCTGTCGGGATTGGATCGGGGACCAATAAAACTTGATCCCGCCGGTCTCAATCCAGATCACCATAGCTGAGTGGCTACGTAGTCTGTCACATATCCACAAGATACTGTATTCAAACTTTGGCACCATGAGTTCATAAAATGAATCTGGGCAAGCAACTACTTGCTATTTGTCTCGGATCACCCATCCGATAGCATGCTGACTATCTTGTGATATACACGTGTATTTGTGGTTAGTTAGTGCGTGTGGATAGCTCTGCATCAGGCTGACTTTCTGTGTGGAATCACAGCTAGTTTCAGTTATAGGGAAGACGTCGGACTATTGAATATACCGGTAGGCAGCATTCCGTACTGAAAGATAAGGGTATTCTTCGAGTATGTTCATATAGTCATTGCGCCATAACTACACTGAGTCCATGATCATTAATCTGAAAATGCACATTGTTAAACTAGATCTGATGACCGATGATAAATAATTACCTGTCTCGAATCGAGATTGCGTCTAAAAAAAAACTTGTATCTGCACATCTCTAGTGTTAATAGAATAGATATATTCATCACTGCTATTGAAATCTATTCATTGTCTTTTTTTGTTTCTAGTGAGTTTGCAATGGCAGAAATCGAATACTTTGTTGATCCAAGTGACAAGACTCATTCGAAATTTGAAACTGTTGCTGATCTAGAAATTCAACTTTATTCAGCTATCAATCAAATAAATGGTGAATCGGCTCAATTAATTCGTTTAGATGATGCTGTTCGTTTGAAATTAATTAATAATGAAACTCTTGCTTATTTTCTTGGTCGAATTTATTTATTTTTAATTAAAATTGGTATTGATAAAAATCGAATTCGTTTTCGTCAACATATGAGCAATGAAATGTCTCATTATGCTTGTGATTGTTGGGATGCTGAATGTAAAATAAGTTATGGTTGGATTGAATGTATTGGTTGTGCTGATCGATCATGTTACGATTTAGCACAACATATAAAATTTAGTGATCAACGACTTGTTGCTGAACGACAATTATCTATACCTAAACAAATTCAAGTTGGTGAAAAAAGATTAAATTGTAAAATGATTGGTCAATTATTTCGTAAAGATGCTTCAATAGTAATAGAATATTTACAAAATTTATCTGAGAATGAAGCTCGAATTTTACATGAAAAACTTCAACAAAGGTATAAGACATTTCACATTTCAACAATAACAACAAAAAACAACGGTTACTTCTTTTTGTTTTTAGTGATGAAAAAATTACTATCGATAATAAAGAATTTATTATTACAAAATTAATTTTTACATTTGAAACAATTCAAAAAACAATTCAAGGTATATATTTTTATCATTTTTAATATCTTATTCGATTAGTTCATTATTAGTGGAAGAATTTATTCCATCCGTAATTGAACCAACATTTGGTATTGGTCGTATAATGTATACTATGTTAGAACATAACTTTAAAATTCGTCCACAAGATAATCAACGAAAGGTAAAAATCTTTTTTTATATCTTCTAAGTGTTCCTAAAATGTTTGCAACATGATTTATTTCGTACATGCAAAATATAAAAATATTGACTTTTTCTTCAAAAGATGCACTGTTGAATTTTCTACAAACTTCTATTGTATAATCAGACATCTAAATGGCTGCGTTTATGGCATTTTGATTGACTATGAATTGCTCTTTTAGTATAATGTGTAGGCATTGAATCACAATTTACTTTTGTTGAATGGGAATAGTCTATCTAAGCTGTTATAGTGAAAAGAGGCCTTTCGATGGTATTCAAATTCTTATTTCAGTTGAATTATTGAGTAACACATGTTATTTGAACTTCAAATAGAAAGACAAATCTATGTGGTTTTTAAAAATACTGCAAAAATAAACTCGTTTTACGCATGAGTGAGATTTCTAGGAATACTTCTTTATCTTGAAAAGAAATGAACAAGAAAATATCATGATTGTACCCATTGATGCAACGAAGATCGTCTCAGATAATGAAAACGTCGCTGCAAGTCTGAACCACAGTAGATTGAAGTTTCCTATTTATGACAAAGTAAAAGCATATGGAGCTCTATTTATCAATAAAAGAATGGCAGGTTAATGTTTGTGATTAAGATTTACCAAGCTCTGCTTATAATAAAACTATCAGGCAAAAATATTCAAATTTCGCTACATTTTACCAAGTATCAGGACTTTTGATGATTATTGTATACGCAAAATAAATAATATTGCAAAAATTTTGGAACGCTCTGTATATAAGATGATGGACAAAAGTTTAACAACGATGTATTTTTTTTCCATAATGCTAAACATCTTGCTCGAATCTAGATAATGATTGTAATAGTCAATGAAGTTTTCTATCTAATACATTTCATTCTAGATGAACTATGATGGTAAGATTGTTAAAAAACTGGACGCGTACGACCTTCCCTTCAAAAGTTAAAAGCATCATAACAACTGAGAACAAGGCGTTTTTTAGTCGATTTTTTGAAGGGAAGTTCGTACGCGTACAGTTTTTTAGAAATCTTTCCATCATAGTTCATCGAATATAGAATGCATTAGATAGAAAGCTTCATTGACTATTAAAATTTCTATCTATATTTGAGTTAGATACTTAACATTATGGAAAAAAGAAATCAAAGATACGTTTTTTTGTAAAACTTTTTCCCACTATTTTAATGCATTTTTAATAATAAATTCATTTATTTTAGTATTTTACATTACCACCTTTAATTGCGCCATATAAATGTGCTGTTTTACCATTGAGTAGTAATGCAGCATTTAACCCATTTATTAAACAAATATGTATGTTTATTCATATTTATATTTTCTTGATTTGTTTTTTCTTTGAATATTTTTAGCTGATCTTTTAACTCAAATTGGTATTTCATATAGAATTGATTCAAGTAGTAATGCTATTGGTAGACGATATGCACGTTGTGATGAAATAGCTATTCCATTTGCAATAACAATTGATTTTGATACTTTAAGTCAACCTCATACAATAGTATTACGTGAGCTAGATTCATTAAAACAAATTCGTGTTAAAGTAAATATTAATATTAAATTAGAAATTTTCTTTTTTGTTTCTTTTTACACATATTTTTATATTTAGATTGATGAAATTATATTTGTTCTTCAAAATCTTTCAACAGAAAAAGTAACTTGGAATGAAATATCAAGATTATATCCGACATTTATAGAACAACAAACTAAAAGATTAGAAAATGTAGAGTAAAATAAAATATTATTTAACTTTTGTTTTTCTTTTTTCAAAACGAAATAAACTCTTTCAATTGAAGTGATATATAATATAGTAACTATTCATTGAATGCACAAAGAACAACTGGTGCCACAGAGAAGAAAAAATAAGAAAATTAAAATAACAAACATATCAGTCTGTTATTCAGTTTACATATCTATATTTGATATCACTTTTAAAATAGATTACATTTTCTATTCATCATGGGCTAACATTATCGAAAGATAAGGTAGGATAATTAGGACAAAAAATAATTATTAATGTATAATATCGATGGATAGAATCTAGGTAAACCTTGAAGTCTGTTGTTTGTCCTTGAATCAAGGACTATTTGTTTTTTCTTTTTGTAAGAGACTCTCTTCGTCCTGCGTACTATAGTTTTGTTTATTTAAATAAAAGTTATATTATTCCTGGTAAATTCATACATAATCATTCGATGGATATTTCGATGTTAGTATATTCTGATATTAACTTACACGTCGAATTCCTTCAATCGTATTATAAGAGTTATAATTAAATTTTTGTTGAGTTTTATCATGTGAATACTATTTCATATTAATTAAAAAAAAAGATCACATATTGTTACTGAAGCCAAATATTATATTCAACTATTTTTAGAAATAATGAGAAATGCATAGAGAATAATGCATTTTTGTTGGATTGCTTTTTTTTAAGGTCATAAAAAATTTCTAGAAAACAGAAAAAAAAAACATAGAGAATTTGTTTTTCTTTGATTTTATTCAAATTTATTGAAGTAAATTCTTTATTGATTTGGAAAACTATGTATATGAAAACGATTTTTATTAGAACATAATAATCTTTTCGAAGATCTTTCTGACAAATGTTTTTTTCTATTTACTATTATGTTTTAACACATACTACATGCTCACTCCTGAAATTAAAAATTATTTCTTTATTGTATCCTATTGAAAGAGTGTCTTGAAAAATTTTCTAACTCTTCCCATTTGGAAATTTTCATTGAATGATCAGTCTTGTCGAACATTTTTATACACAAAAATAAAGATTTCTATTGACATATCATTGGATGGAAGTTTTTATATTTGATGATTACGATTAGTTTTATTATAAAGAAATAATATTAATTTTTGAATCTCATTTCGTCTTTTACATATGAAGACATAATGTTATATTTATCAACAAATTTAACTGTTTTTTTTCTTTTATCTGAAAATGATTTTCCCATAAAAACCGACTCCAAAAATGCATCAAACTCTTAAAATAATATTATAGTAAAAGTTTTTTTTTTTCCATAGATGTTTGCTCTAATAAAATCATAATAATAAATACGTCAAATTTTTCACATACCATAACCAAATGACTTGAAATTACTCGAAGAATTTTTCAAAGACAGATTGATTAATGATATATGAATAAAATATTCATAACATGAAAAAAGAATGTATAATAGGACATTCTTTTTCATATCTAACGTTTTTCTATATACAAAAAAAAAACTTAGTTTGAAAAACACAATCCAACAAGAGTTTTAAAGTATAGGCAGAAGTCGGAAGAGGATCAGAATAGTTTTCAATTATTGAGGGGTGTACATCCTTCGCTTTCGCAGCCTCTAAGTGTAGGGATACAAATTTGGACTTTCCGTCCTACACACGGTAATAGACTTTGATATACAATCACAGACCGTATATCAATAACGGCTCTTTATAATATATGAACTTCGTCGTTATTGCATTTCTGAAGGGCTTCAGTAAAAAGAATAGTGAAGAAATGTGTCTCAAAATAGATAGGATAAAAACAACTACATTGTATTTCACATTTTAATCCTGCTGAAATTGAGGAGTTAACAACTTTTTTTTCTTTATAAAAAAAAATATAATTTGAAATTATAAGTCTCATTCTTTATTATCATAGAAAAATAATATTGACTATTGATGAATACAATCAATGAATAAATTATCAGAAATAAATAGTAATTGTAAAATGAATAAATGTGCAGAAATTGATAAACAAAATATATTACATCAATGTGAAAGTACACGACAACGTCGAAATGTTTTATCTGATGTATCAGCAGTGCGGACAAATGTTAATACATCTTCTCCAAAACATTATTATAATCAATTAACTGAACGTGTTCGAGAACTTGAAAAAGAAATTCTACCTGATCGATATTTTTATCGAATATCACCAACTTATTCACCATTTTCACCTGTAACACCATGTTCAAATGTTAACGGATTTGGTATTTCAAATTATCCATATTCACTAAACATTCCAATTAATTTAATTTCACCAAGTTCATCTGTACCAATACAACCATTTGGTTTATCTTCAAAAATTCTTGAACGTGCTCATGAAATTCCTGAACGGTTAGATAATAAAAGTTAAATAAATAGTTTTTCAATATGTTAATAAGTTTTATCTAGATTTTGGATTCATTGGCAACAAAAACAAATGCAAAATCGAATAGATGAACTTGAATATATTAAAAATAAATTAACCAGTCCAAATGAAATTAATCTAACACCACCAACAACAAAACAACAAAAAAATTATTTATTACATCGTAATGTACAAGACCACCATATCAGTCCTCCTCAAACAGCAACTTTTAATATAATAACTACAACGAATATTGACAATAAAACATCTTCATCAAATACTAATAATCATTGTTCATTTAATTTCGATCAACAATCAATAGATAGAGTCAATAGAGATAATCTAAATGATACATCTTCACCTATCAAATCAATAGCTTCTCGTTCATCTATACAAAAACCTCAATCAACACTTGATCGTTCTCGTTTAACTATATTCTTACCATATTCATATACGAATATATCAAAGCCAACAACATCTACTAATAATCATTGTCAATTATTAACTAAATCAATTTCAGAAAAATCAACTGATAAAAAAGATAATACAATTCAAACAATGTCATCTACTAGTAATATTGAAGATGTTGCACAAATAGATACTGAACTTAATCTTATATTACTTTTACGAGAAAATCGAGATCAAACAAATCCATTATTATTTTCAAAAGTTACTATTAATCGTACTGTTGAATTTCAATCATTATCATCGAACAAAGAATCATCAATATATCAAAAAAGAAATATCAATTGAAAGACGAAATAGTAATCTATAACTACTTTATTCAGGGGCTTAAATAATTTTTTTTCTTTTCATGATTTTCATGTACTCGTCAAAGCCTGGCATCCCACCAACACTTTGTAAAAAAAAGAGGATTTTTAATAAAAAAAGAGGCATACAGTTCCGTCCGAAGAAAACTAAAATCCACTGGCACAATAGTCCTATAAATCCGACAAAACTCGTACACTATCAATATAGGTTGAATATGACTTGAAAGAGTAAAAAAGAAACGAAACTTCCAATTGTTCATAGAGATTTTTGCGCAATTGCTTATGTATGCATTAAAAAACTGGAAAACATTAGAAAAATAGTCTATTCTGCTTGGGTAATATCTGACTATAATATTACTCTATCTGACTAAGCAGGTGCACAAAAATAGAAACGATCAGATTTCATTAAATGATTTTTTTTGCTTTTTGTTCCTTTTTTCAGATGACTGTACATGTGAGAAAGGTATTTTTTGTTTTTTTTCAATTTTCAGCAATTCTCCTATAATTTTGATCATTTTTCGCAAGTCAGTTTCACTTTTCCGTTTCCCAAGCGTAAATTAATACATTGGTTGCAATGATGCCTAGACAGTGGGTTTGTGAGGAATCATTCGACCCCATGCTATCGAAAACGCTTGATTTTCCCAGTGCAATATGGTCATCTTCCTGCGTTTTAGTCAGTGGGGCGCTTCTGTTTGTTGCTATCGCATTCCATCATATACGATATCTTCGAGGTATCATCTAATTGTTGTCAATATTAACCCATGTCAAGCAAACACGCTTGTAATTGGAGGAATACGGTGCTTCTCATCGCCCAGTATTGCAATCGTATAACTCCGTGATCGTATACGCAGAAATATGATCGTTTATGAACAAACAGAGTTCGTCAACGGCTTTCGCTTTATTCTGTATTTCTTCGTATACCGTTATATTTTTCCATGTACTGTTTAGAGATATACGGTCGTCCAAAATGTGATTGTATATGGAGAAACTCAGTAAGAGAGGGATTACTTCATTTTGACAGTAAATCAATCGCGTTAGGTAATCTAGCAACATACCATGGCATCTGTAATCAACCTAGCAATTTTGAAGAATCAGATATTGCCGGATACAACATGAAAACTTTTATCGGTATTTGATAAGCAGAAATCTTCAACTTATGACATCATACTATCAGAAGCTATCTTGTCGAAGAAATCCTATCGGATCTGACAGGATTCTAGGATAGGTCTAACTACCCTGGAAACTTCTTCTCATTTTGACACATACGTTACTCTACCAGTTAGCTATCCATTGTTAGATTCACATCACAAGCTTTCCTGGAGCTGAGAAAAATGGCTAAGAAAAGTAAGCTCGATATTATCATTTTACATGTCGATCTTAACCAGAAAAACTTGGCAAAATTGTGAGAGAATGATGAGTTCACATTGGAAATATAATTGAATGATTTTGTCTCCACTAGAGAGCTATAAAAATTGGGCCCTCATTAGGGATATATAATATCGCTGAAGTTGATCACTAAAATCATATAATTTAGTCTCCTTAGCTATATACCTTGACTGGTCGGCACATCAGTTTGTGTTATGTAATCTTTTTGCATGATATGGTAACATTAATCAATATATTCATGGATGTTTTCGCCAACAAACTACTTTTTCGTGAGGAAAGAGGAAAGGGAGGGAAAAGAGGCGGAGTGGGATGCCGGGTCAAAACGAAAATAGAACTTTTCATTTGAAGAAGAAAAGACTAACACAAAAATATTGTATAATAGTTTTTTTTTAATCCAACTATTAAGATCTCTTTCGGCATACAAAAAGAAAGAAGCAGATGAATAAATAATCATCAATTCTGTCTATAGGTTCTTTTGAACCAGTTTCATCAAAATTTCTCATGTGAAATTTTGTGACCTTTGATCTTTTATTACCAGTTGAAAAATTTCTTTTACTTGACAGGCACACAAACACACACCTAACCTACGGCGCGAAAGTCTTGGTACAAATTTGTTTTTCTTATATCTTTATTAGCAAAAGCCTTACTGTTTGACAAATAATATCAAAAGAAAGTACAAACAGAGATGCTCTAAAAAGTAAAATGAGCAAGCTGCATATGGTCCTTTATTAGCGATTTTTCAAAGTTGTCTTGTGATGGACGAAAACATGACTTGTACAGACTTCATATTGATCGATTTCTTGAAGCTTTTGACTTATTCTTGTTTTCAACTGGTCAATAGTTTTTGCTTCACAACCATTAGTGTATACTTTATCATCCAAAATCCACCAAATTGTTTCAGTAGGACATGCTTGAGGACAGTTTTGAGGATTCTTTCCTTTTGACACTACATCAATATGGTGTTCTTCTAAAACTCAATTACACTTGATGCATAATGACTTGTTGCCAAATCAGACTAGAATAAAACCTTGTCTGTTTTGTGACAGCTATTAATAAAAGGAATTAAACGTTCCTTGACACAATATGTGAGATATGTGATTTTATTGATTTCTCGCTTTTGTTCTGCAAAAAATAGTTCAAAGACGCCTTTTTGAGATACAGTAATCCAAACCAAAAGCTTAAAAGGGAACCTTCTCAGGTGATAGGGCGCTTTTCAGCCAGAGTTTTTCGCATCTTGTAGCCCATATTGAGCTATATTTATAGTAAAAAAAGTTCGGGCCCCTAGCGTATTTCTGAGGAGATATCGAGTTCTTAGTGAATTTTCGCTATAGTACGCCTACATTGGCAGCAAAGCTATACTTTCGAATTTTGATCTGAAACTTTGCCTGCATAAAGACCTCAGCTAGACTAGTTTGCATAAAAAATTTCAGAAGTGTTGAAAAGAGTCTCTCTAAGATATGAAACTATCAAGGTATAGTCCCTTTTTCATCACTAGTATATATAGTATGCATTTTTTTTCAAAGCTTGATATCTTAGAGAGACTCTTTTCAAAACTTCTGAAATTTTTTATGCAAACTAGTCTAGCTGAGGTCTTTATGCAGGCAAAGTTTCAGATCAAAATTCGAAAGTATAGCTTTGCTGCCAATGTAGGCGTACTATAGCGAAAATTCACTAAGAGCTCGATATCTCCTCAGAAATACGCCAGGGGCCCGAACTATTTTTACTATAAATATAGCTCACTATGGGCTACAAGATGCGAAAAACTCTGGGTGAAAAACGCTCTATCACCTGGGAAGGTTCTCTTGTTAGCAAAATATTTTTGAGCTCGCTTGAATTTTACATCTGGTGGTGTGATGTTTGGATTAGATGTATAGAACCCATGATTAATTGATACAGTGTTCTTAGTTAACGTAAAATAATATACACTAATGGTTGAGAAGCAAAAACTATTGACCAGTTGAAAATAAGAATAAGTCAAAAGCTTCAAGAAATCAATATGAAGTCTGTACAGGTCATGTTTTCGTCCATCACAAAACAACTTCGAAAAATCGCTAATAAAGGACCATATGCAGCTTGCTCATTTTAATTTTTAGAACATCTCTGTTTGTACTTTCTTTTGATATTATTTGTCAAACAGTAAGGCTTTTGCTAATAAAGACATAAGAAAAACAAATTTGTACCAAGACTTTCGCGCCATAGGTTAGTTGAAAAACACAGTAACTTTTTTTCATTATAAAATGGTCCTTGAAAATTATTCATCGAAATAAACAGTATGCTGAAGCCATTTCTAGTCATTTAATGTCAATGCATTACTAATCAATGTTTATCAAGATCGAAATAGTTCATTGCACAATTTGTTTACTTAACGAAAAATTTTTACAGTTAAAAAAAACGTCGTTAAGATTAACAACGCAATGAAAGAATATGTCATCACATAATTTATTTTTTCAAGCAAAACAAAATTAATAATAAAAAATCATTAATGAGATTTTCAATAGTTTAATTATTTTCAGTGAGAAAACATAACAGAGCAAGAATAATTATAGAAATTTTCAACAAGACATACTTATAATTAGAAATACCTATCCTATTCATTCTGTAACAACAAATTGAATTTATTTAGCGTTAATGTGAAAAAAAAACAACGAAGGTAAAGAGGAGAGAAGAAGAAAAGAAAGAACGAAATAAAATATTCACAATCAACAAATGTCTTGAAGAACTGATTATTTCTTTGAATTTTTTTCTTTTGCTTTCAACTGGCCTCTATTTTTTTTCGTGTCAATAAGCATATGAGAACAATGCAAAAAGAAGAAAAATCGATTTCGAAAATAAATATTAGTAGACGATCGACAAAAACAAAAAATAAGTAGAAGGTATATTATTGTATTTTTCTGTCAGAAATTGAATAAATTCGTTTGCTTTTTTCTATATTACAGTTCCAATTGTATTAACCATGACTGATGAACAACATCGTAAAAGTAAAGATCATATTATTTCAAATCTTAATTCAAAGAAAAAAAAAAATATTCGAGTATTTGTTCGACGAAAAAGTTTACCACATGGTATTTTACATAAATCTATTTCAACCAAATCATATACTATCAAACATTTAACTGCAACTATAGAAAAACATTTAAATATAAATAAAAAAAATTTACGAAATAATAAAAATATTATTGTCGTAAATTATCAACCGGTGTTCGTTCATTCTCATCAACAAAAATCTATGGAATCAAAAACAATACGAACATATCCATCAACAACTCATAATAATCGACGAACTAGTATAAGAACAATATCAAATACTAATAATTCATTATTTCATTCAAAAACTAATTATACTTTAAATCGACAACCTTCTTCATTCGATCTAGCTGATGTTGAAGATCCATTAATATATATTGAAATGATGTATCAACAATTATTTACTGAAAATGGACAATTACGTAGTGGAGTTGAACCAACAGTTGTAGCAAATCGTGTTAAAGAAATTGTAACAAATTCAAGAAGAAATTCAATGACACGAAGAGATTCGCTAACATCAAATTTTTATCAAGAGAAATGTTTATTAACACCATTTACTCATTCAATATCATCAAAACGGAAATCAATTTCAGCGCCTTGTTTCGTAACTAATACATTTAGTGTAGAAGAAGAAGAAGAATTTAATCCACTATTACAAACAAGTAGAATTCCTACTACTTCCAAACGGTAATATAATTATAATTTATCCTCTATTTGAAATTTAATTTTCTGAATTTTCTTTTTTTTTTGTCTTAAAGAAGTTCACCACGATCAAGTGTAGATAATACAGATTCTCGTCTACAACGATTTCATGCATTTTTTAATTCATGTTATCAACATGATCAAAAACGAACATCAAAAAATGAAATTACAACTAATTCTAATTATCCATTTTCTACTGATGATACAGATAATGAAGATTTTGATAGATTTTCTGATTTCAATTCTTGCCAAAAAACATTTCCTACATCACAACCAGAAAGTATTGATGAAAATATAACTCGTACTGATTCTAAACTTTTATTTTCATCTGGTTATCAATCATTACAATCACCACAACCAATTAAATACAAAATACATTCAGAAAATGATCATTATAATTATTCAAAGTGTATACATATACCAGAAATTGTTATCACACCTCCAACAGGATCATTGATTACCATTCAACCAGTACGAGATGTATTTACAAAGCTTCTTAATTTTGTTTTTATTTCAAAAGATATTTTTCTTGTACCTTTACGCATTTTTCTTTTACGTCAAGAATCAATGCCAATAACTTATTAGAAGAAAAGCAAAGCAAAACTTCACTAAATCTTATCCGTCCAAGACGTAGACTTTGTTTTTATTATAATCACAAATTTATAAATTTTCTTTTTCATATATCTATATATAATAATACGGACATGAAAAAAAAAATAACAACAATATTTTAATTAATGAATTCATTTCTACGATTATTGTTTTATTATTTTGCTATATTTGCGGTGTTCTTATAGATTTAATAATATACTTGTAGTTCAACTTATATTATTGAACATTAACAAAGAGATTTTTTTATTTATTTACTATGTTTAACTCTGACTTTAATAGTCCTAAATGGGCAGCTGTCTTATAACACATGTGTCCGTTAGGATGGTAAGTAAGAGACTACCAGAAAGAAAAAACTCAACACAATGAAAGAAGATGAGAGAAAAAAGAACAGAAATCAAGAAAAAGAAAAGAGAAGAAAAAAAAATTTAAAGAAAAACAAACAAGAGTAGATTTAATGCAGAGGATGACTAATTATGAAAAAGCATGATTGACAACGAGAAGTTTTCAAAAGACAAAAGAAGAAAAATGACTGCTATTAAAATGTCTTTGGAAATTCAGCATAATATCTGATATATTTCAGGTTGATAATCGCCACTGAGTCAGATGAACCATGGTTTGATAACCAATTTAAGAAACGGCCAAATATATCTGTGTAATAGACAAATCGTTTAGAATGGTAGAGACAACGAATCGATCTTCTTCCTTCATGCCACGTTGAACGATTCGCGTTTAAGTACAATTGTTCGAGCAACAGACAGCCGTCCAAGGATTTAACCATTTTCTTCAGATATGTGATCCAATATGCATAACCTGGATCATCAAGAGGACGTTCATCGCAAGTGAATGTGAAAAATAAATCGTTACAGCAATGACAGTAAAATGCTTGTTTAAGCGATGTATAATAAAAAGGACTCACGAGGAAACATATTCAACTGTCAAATTACTTTTGGATCGGGCATGTATGCAAACGATAGATCTCAGTGAGTTATTAAATGCCCTAGAATTGTTTGGTTTTCCAGCATTCTGTTGTCGAGTTATGGGTCTTTTATTTGATTTTGGCTTATAGACGTAAGATTCTTCTGAGTATCTGAATGATCGAATTTCAAACTGAAATTTTACCCATAGAAAGGCCTTATAAGCACTAGAAACTCACCAAAGTTTCAGCCAGAATGAATGTATCCTTATCGAGATATTCACATTTTAAAGAAACGCCTGTTTTGAGATGTGTTTCAAAATAGAGACATTTTCATGACGAGTTGATGTCTCGATAAGGATTAGGGGTGTTACTTTATTTTTATGTTTCGTTATAATAAAGAATAAAGTAAAGACAATCTTTATCTTTATTTTATAAAGAATAAAGATAATCTTTACTTTAAAAATAAAGATAAAGAATTAAAGAAAATCTTTATTTTTTAAAAAATAAAGATAAAGTGAATCTTTATATTTATAAAATAAAGATAAAGATAATCTTTATTTTTAAAAATAAAGTTAAAATAAAGAATAAAGAATAAAAAATAATTTGTCTGGAAATTACAACAAAATAAGTAAATCACTGTTGTTAACAACAGACAATGTCAATCAAAACATGTTTTGTTATGTAGAAATATTTTTTGTCCAAAACAAGCCGTAATACAAAATCAGTAAAGTGCCGGAAAAAAGAGTTATAACTGTATTCATAGTCTTAGAATGGGGTGTGAGTGTGGGGTGTGTAGGTATAAGTGTGGGTGTGGGTGTGGGTATGGGTATAGGTATGGTTATGGATGTGGGTGTTCTCATCATGCACACTAACACCCAGAACCATAGCCTAAACCCAATACCCACACCCACACCCTTTCTCCCTCCTCTCCCTTGTTCTCTTTCTTCATTTGTCTAAAATGCACCTAATGCATTCGGAAAAATCATTTCATACTATATTTTTTTCATTTTTTTTCTCCAATTGTAACTAATTATGCATTAAATATGTCAGATGAATGTTATAACCGTTTCTCTATGCATGTATGTAAAACAGGGAATAAAGTTGCTCATATTAAAATATTGTAGTCAAGAAATTAAGGATGCACATCAAATATATGAATGACGAAAATTGAAGGTATGAATATATTTATCGCATTGAGCAACATTATATCTATTATCTCTGATAAAGTAAATGCTAAAATTTTCATTCAATTTTAAAGGGACTCCCTTTCCGTGGTTTTTCGAGAACGGCTCATCAGAAAATTTTGAAACTTTCACAGCTGACAGATCTCTACATATAGAGTAAAAGTTGTCATAGACTCAAAATTCTGTAACGCTTCCTTCTAAGGATATTGAGGTCACAATGGCTAAAAATCACCCTTCAAATTGTCCCCGTTTCTCAGCTGCTATATGTGCTACAGAGCTGAAATTTGTTTTACAGATACTAGACACTGTTTCTGGGACTGCTTTTTTGGTTTCTTTCTAACTTATTCTATTCGAAAAAAAAAGCCCAAATACGAAGAGCATCCTAAAAAGTACCTATTTTTTCGGATAGTGCTTGTCTTGTGAGAGCTGAAAAAACTCAGTAGTATTTTTTTTTCAAAATAAAAAAAAGTAGCTCCCCTAAACTGTTCCTAGTATCTATAAGAAAAAATTTCAGCCTGAGCGGATGCATCGTGCCTGAGAAACGAGGGTGATTCTATTGATTTTCGCTGAAAAACCGGATTTATAGAAAACTAGTAAAGAAAGAAAAATCGTGCTATACTCCAGCGGAAATCATGATATCTTTTCGATCTTGTTTTTAATATAAGGCAATGTTTGGGTTCTCAAAATGTCAACAATAGACAGAGGTGCACTTGAAAGCAAATTTAGAGCAGAAAAACCAAAAATCGAAGAGTTTGAAAATTTTGGGTCCGGAAAGGGGGGTCCCCTTAAGCTGACTAAGTAACGAAGTGAGTTCGAAGCTAGAGTTATGCAATAGAGCTCAGATGAGAAAATAAATACTCTTTTTTATATGATACACACCGTGGTTGATATCTTATTAAAGGGAATCTAAATATTCAAGACGCTAAACTTATCATCTGATGATAGATTTCATCATTCTTCTTCTTTTATATAATCGGATCCGGAAAAAATCCGAGATATAACATTTATACATGGCTGACATGATTGAACAAAATATTGGAAAAAAATAGTTAATCAACTATAGTCAAGCCATCTCTCCTAAAAGCAAAGCGATTTCGTCATTGGATATTGTTACCAGCGTTCCATTTACGTCAATGTCAAAAGATTATGACTATGTTGCAAAACGAATCAAGGAAAAACACTATAATATTGTGCAGAACTTTTACTGAATTAGAGTCGTAGCCATTTTCACAATAAAAGCTAACACTTTTTAGAAGAATAATATAGTTAACTGAAAAGGTCAGGAGTAAGATTTGATTTTCATCTCAGTTATTACAAAGAAATTTATTGAAATAACTAACATATGATTTAGAAAAGCAATTCATTGAAATAAAGAACGGTATTAGCATATTGTCACTTTTTAAGTATTATATATTGTATTTATTTTTCAACTAATAAAGATAATCCTATGAAATAACTTTTAATTAATATGTATATATTATTGTTATAAAATGATTTATTTATTTTGTTGAAATTTCTAAAAAAAATTTTTTTTATTCTTTATTCTTTATTTTAACTTTATTTTTAAAAATAAAGATTATCTTTATCTTTATTTTATAAATATAAAGATTCACTTTATCTTTATTTTTTAAAAAATAAAGATTTTCTTTAATTCTTTATCTTTATTTTTAAAGTAAAGATAAAGTAACACCCCTAATAAGGATGCGTTCGTTCTGACTCAAACTTTGGTGAGTTTCTAGTGCTTATAAGGCCTTTCTATGGGTAAAATTTCAGTTTGAAATTCGATCATTCGGATACTCAGAAGAATCTTACGCCTATAAGCCAAAATCAAATAAAAGACCCATAACTCGACAACAGAATGCTGGAAAACTAAACAATTCTAGAGCATTTAATAACTCACTGAGATCTATCGTTTGCACATATGCCCGATCCAAAAGTGATTTGACAATTGAATATGTTCCCTCGTCAGATTTGTTTGCTGCAAATCTGTGAACAGGGAGACAAGTGGATAAAGCATCCCCATACCTTTCCAGAAATATGGCGGTAAAATTTTACATAGATTTTAGCATCGAAAAATTTATCCCCATTACTTTTTTCTGTTTAGAATTTTTTGTTTTTTTTTGAATGCTATTAACACTGAAATCCCGTATTAACTCAACTATACACCCACACTCACATCCCGTTTTTCGATCATATTGACCTCCAGAATCCCAACGAACAGATAATATACAACAATTGAAATAACTCATTTTTTTTCCAGCTTTTAATGCTTTATCTTTTAGTATATTGTACCAAAAAATTGCCTAACTTGCTGAAACATAATTCTAGTGAACTTGTATAGGTCAATTTTTAAATATTTTTTGACACTACGTTGCTAGTGCTCTAAAGTCGATCCTAGCTAACTTTGCTATAATACATCTACATAAACTAAAAATTTAGGTTTTGTGGGTTCAGACTATGGTCTTTCAAACACACATAAAAAATCAAAAATGTAGATTTTAATCGGTGCCTGCAATCTTCGGTCCCGTGGTGGAACATCTCTTAAGCATGTACGAACGTCAATTTACCATTAAAAATGTTATTTTATCTTATAATGGAAGAATGCATATTGTAACTCAAGAACATTGAACATATCCATGTAAAATTAAAAGTCTTACCTGTAAACTAAGAAGTTACATATAGGGGTGGGAAGTTACCGTTACCGTTCCCGGGTAACGGTAACGGGGCAGTTACCAGTTACCCGGGTAACTGGTAACGGGACAGTTACCAGTTACTTTTCAGGGTAACTTCTTTAAAACGACGAATTATGACTTCTTATGATCGAATTTTGTGAAAAAAATTAATTTTTGAATTTCGGAGTTACCCGGGTAACTGGTAACGGGAAACCAGTTACCAGTTACCGGGTAACTCCGGAATTCAAAAATTAATCTATCGACGAAATTCGATCATAGCAAGTCATAATTCGTCGTTATAAAGAAGTTACCCGGAAAAAGTAACTGGTAACGGGGCAGTTACCAGTTACCTGGGAACTGGTAACTTTTTCCGTAGCAACCGTTACCGTTACCGTTCCCGGGTAACGGTCTGGGAACGGTAACTTCCCACCCCTAGTTACATATATAAGCTGGTGATGTAAAGCATTCACATTGCAAGGTGTTTACAGTATATGTAATATGCCAACAATTCCAAATTTCAGTAAGATTTATTTTTCTCGTTTTTGTTATGGTTGGATAGAGCTCGTCGAGTTACATAAGAACAAATATATTTCAAATACAAAAACAAAACGAACATTTTAAGAGAAAGATTCATGATACTATTATTTTCAAATTTTCGTAAAACCTTTTTTTATATATTTGCAACATAGTTTTTCTTAAACAACTCGGCGAACTCTATTCAATTATAACTAAAACACGAAAAATAACTCCTACTGAAATTTCAAATTTTTGATACGTTACATTAGCATTTGACCCGTACTCTTAATTTCAACGATATTTTTTCGTCGAAGTGTGATAGTCACTCCAAACTCTGCTAGTGCTGTAATACATTCTACACATTTCTCAGACAATCTTCGCAATGATCTCATAGTAACTAAGTCATAATTGGCTGTTACTTTTAGAGCACGGTTATTAGTTGGATTGATTGCGAATCTGGATCTGGTTGACTCTACATTACATATACTGTAAATACCTTGAAATTCGAATATCTTAATGGATGCATATTGTCAGCAGCTTATATTTTAAATTTCTTAGTTTGCCGGTTAGACCTTTAAATTGATACAAATATGTGCAACGTGCTTGAATTACAATACACAACCTTTTATTGTTGTTAATCTCTATCTATATTTGAAGATTGAATCTTTGAGGATACAATGCGAACGTAAAAACTCCAAGAAAAGTAGAGGTTTGAGAAAAATTTATAAAGCCTAATACACTTACTGTTATGTTTATCTTTCCTTTTTTTTCTCAAGTGTTCTTAGACAAAGACTTCGATGAGAAAAACTCGAATAACTACATGTATTATTGAATGAAATTTCAAACCAACTACAAACCCATTTGCAGATTTTGATTTTTGTCATATCTATTGAGAAGCAGATGTTTATAAACTAAATTTCTTATTGAACTAAAGAACATTGTGAAATGTCATTCGACAAGAATGCCTGTTGAAAACAAATATTTTGATTAATATTTATAGATGTTCGATAATAATAACTTGTTTATTATAGTCGATATTTACTGTTATTTGAATGATCACTCATTTAAACATTTTTACGATCGTGTATTTTTATTTTATTTACGTTATGCAAATATTAAAATATAATTATTTATTAAAAACTTTACGAGTATAAATAAAGTATAAGAAACAAAATCATAACAAAGAAAATTACCAACCAGATCTTCGTGGAGGAATAACAGGTGAACCAGCACGGGGTGATAAAGGTGGTGCATTAGAATATGGTTCCATATTCATATATGGCATTCCAGGACCAGCAAATGGTGAACCTCGATGACGACGTTCATTATCACTCCTTGATGATGATCTACTACCACGACGACTACGTGATTTAGATCGATGACGAGATGAATGACGTGAACGAGGTCGATCATATATACCACTTCCAAAATGACTTGGACCAGCAAATTGAGGTTGTTGTCCATAAGAAAATGGAACTTGTGGATTAACGAAACCACCACCGTGCATCATAGGACCATTAAAACCTGAACCATATGGACTCATCATTGGTGATGAACTGAAGCCTGCAGAAGAAAATGCAGCACCAGGCATAACACTGCCTGCTGGAAATGGACCACTACTTTGAAAGTATCCTCCAGTATTACCAAATTGTCCATAACCTGGTTGATGTAAAGGACCTGAATATTGAGACATCATATTGTTGTCAAAAGTGTTTCCACCAAATGGATTCCTAAACATAAATATAAAAGATTTATAATATATATATTTTTTTTTTAATCTTGTACTTACATTTTGTATTAAGCAAATATCAATATAATGATAATTCAAAAAGAAACCAACTGTTTATATATGCAGTGGTTTTTTGCAAGTGAATCACCTCATTTAAAAGGTGAAATCAGTGATGCATGAGAAACATAAAGATGAGTAACATTTATAATCATATAATGAATAATGTAAAGGTGGGCATATAAGTTTATTTTTCTTATTCTATCTTTTCTCATATTATTCAAGATTATTAATGATCATTGTTTTTTATTTTAGTTATAATTTTGTTTAATGACGTACATATTTACTTGATTTCAATCGATTAATAATTATCAAAAAATCAATTTTTTTTATTCATAAAAAGAAGAAATAGTTATTTGTTTTCTCATCAATCTGTAATCCTATATGTATTATAATGTTTAGCTCATAATCATTGAAAAAACATTCCATATTGACTACATATCATATGAATGTAATTACTATGTTTATAATAAGAGCGTGATGACAAGAATCGTTTATAATCAGGCACACGATCTATTTCAAAGAAATTTGTTTAAGTATGCCTTTCATATATAAGAATTGTCAAAAGTAACGAATATTGTATTAAATTCAAAACAGACAAAAACTTAATTCTTAGTTTTTTTAAGTATTTATGTCCTCATTTCCAGCACTTTTGAAGAATGACTCATCAGTAAATTGTGAAAGTTTAAAAGCGGATAGATCTTGATGAGTAGAGAAAAAATTCTTATAGACTCAGAATTTTCGGATGATGCTTTTCGGTAGGAAATATTAGGGTTGCAAGTGCGAGGTAACCCACCACTCCGTCTCAACTACAATACGTCTGATAGGGCTACGGATTCTTTTTTTAAATGTTAGACACTGCTTGAATGTCCTGTTTTTTTTTCCTTTGTTTTAATTGAACTTTTTCTATTAAGCTTGGCAATAAACAACAGCACATCATATTTTGAAACAAAAAAAATAATAAGCACCTGAAATACTTTCTAGTGGTAAGTAGAAGAAAGTTTCAGATCGATGGGATACACTATCGTTGGAGAAACAAGGATGATTTTCCATTTTTTCAAAACAGCGAAATATTGTGTAAATTTTTTTTTTTTTTGGTGGCGAAAATGTTCTATCGTTTCCCATTTTTTGACTTTAATGTTATATATTAATCCTTGAAATATGCCTAGTATAGATAGAGGGTAAGTTCGAAGCGTATATAAAGCAGAAAAATAACGAAAATGATTTTCGGTCGGGAAGAAAACGTTGGTTATCTTAACTTCAAATAACACTTACATAAAAAGTCTATATCAAATTTAGAATAGAAGATAAAGACAATTGTCTTTGATGACACAATTATAGAAACTCTATTAGTTTTTTCAATGAAAATTTGTTGATTAAATAAAATATTAATTTTCTTATACGTAAGCTTTTGCTTGTTAGAAAGTAATTTGAAACTTGCAAGAGAAATTCCCTAATTGATTAATTGCTTTTCAGTCGAGACAATGTGCATCATTTAGTCTCTAATGAGTTATGAATATCTTGAAAAGGGTTCGGGTTCATAATTGATTTCAGTGAAGATACTGCATTTTTTAACTGAATACCATGGTCCTCCTCAGGAACATCAGAAAAAGTCATTTTTGAGTTTCGACTTGAAGCTTTGCACAAAGAGAAGCTTTAAATGATAATGGTTTATTGTGCAGATTTCATATCTCTTCGTTGCTCCTATCCTCAGACACGACTATGATAAAGGTGAGTTTTTTTTTACATTACTCATATTCATGGACAAATTACGATGTTCTTATTTCAGGATAGAAGGAAATAAAAAGGTTTGAAATTTTTACAATAAATTACTTCCATTAAGGTCTGTATCTTTGCAAAATTTCAAGTCTAAATATCGACAGTCAATTGTTTTGGTATTTCTGAGAGAGACTACTGGATTCAGTTAACTAATGCAGTATCATCGCAGCAATTAACTAAGAGTTCGAGTTCTTTTTGAGATATCAATAGTTCATTAGAGTCTACATGATGTACGTTGTCCCAACTAGAAAGCGATCAATTAGTTATAGGACGTTGCTCGTTAGACGCGTCAATATAATTCATTATTTACGTTTCATTCGCTGTACAACAAAAATTTCAATTAAAAATATATGTTAGAAAATGTAAGATGTAATTGTTAATTAATTTTTCTATCAAACTAAAGTCTGGAACATGTTTTAATGATTACAAATATTGTCAAAAAATAATAATAATTCATACTCTTGCTTTTTGATATATCACAGAACATATGAGTGTTAAATAAATTGATAACAATCTTTTTTTTTTCAAATAAATCTGCCTCCATGTAATAAAAAATTTCAATAATTTCAAATCTATAAGCATTGATGCATTCAAAAGAACATCAAATGTATGAATCAAATGTTGATAGGCATTTCAAATTCAAAGAAAATTCTTTCTATTTTATTCGATTACTATTAGTTTAAATTAATCTCAACAAGAATATCAATACATCGAATTATATTTCGTTAGTCTTTCTTAACCAGATTTTTCTTACATAAACCAGCAGACAAGGGAGTCTCTTCCAGTTTCAATGATATTTTTTTTGCCTATAGATACTATAAAAGCCATAAATGGATTTTGGTTTCTATTGAGATTTGACTAAGCTATCAAATTTTCGTCTGAAACTTTGTGCATATAGAGAACTCAACTGGTATAGTTTCCATGAAAAAAAAAACCAGAAATATTGAACAAAGTCTCTTCAAGATATGAAACTTTCAAGATATAGACCCTTTTCCATGGATAATGTGTACAATATTCATTAAAGGTTCATATCTCGAAGAGACTTCATTCAAAACGTCTGAATTCTTTTTATGGAAATATTTTTTTTTGTGTGTTTACAGAGCGTGATAATTTAGCCTTGGAAAAAACACCTAACTTAAAAGAAGAAAAGCTCAATGAGACTGGTTCATGTATTCAGAAGTGTTTTTCTTTATTTTCATTTCATTTAATTTTTATCATGCGAAAATAGATTAAAATATTCAATAGTAATATTTGTAATATAATTAATTCTCTTCATTAATTTAGCATTATTTCCGAAAAGATTTTTATTTATTTATTTATAATATTCTTAAACTATAAAATTCATTGCAATACGTCGAACAATCAATTATTTAAATGCATTCTGCTTTCACACTGACGTTGTAAAGATATGGAGAAAAAAAACAACTAATGATCGGAAATGTGACGTTCTGCCTTGCCACGTTGTCAACCAAGTCTACGTCATAAAAATAACCACTCTCACTTGTCTAGCTTTCTTCCTTCTTTTTTTTTTTTGTCTTTTATAACCCGGTTTTCTGCTTCTTTCCTCGTTGATATCCCATGATCAGTCGCCTGCATTATGTTTTACGTTGGCAAAAATGAGTCATATAGTCAGTCGCTTTAACTTACACGTAAATATTGCACTCATAAAATTACATTTTTTTTTAATACTTAGAACCACTCGAACAGGTAACCAAATTGTGAGTAATTTTAGGAGACATGTGTGCTAGAGAATCGATATGTAATGTATATCATTTGATAAGAAATTTAATCAATAATATTTTATTCCTTAACAATCGAGTATAATGTTTCTTTTTGGGTGTAATCCAAACCGAAATGAGCAAAAAATAAATAGACACTTATGCCCTAGACAAAATTGGACTTAGACAGAAATTTTGTTTTTCACTAAGCATAAAACTACAAAATAACATTCATCGAGATTTAAATTACTTGGTTCTAGACTAATGGAATATGGAAGCATCTAAGTAAAAACATGCTTTTTATATTTTTATACCTAGATGCTCTTATAATGCATATGTCTATCCTTTCAGTCTAGGGAACATCTACATATTTCTTTCTTTTTTTTTTTTTACTAGACACAGTATTCACTTTCACTAAGTCAATATTGTATTTATATGCATCAGTGGCTTCGCCTATGTCGAGATTGGAAAATAAATATTTCAGAAGTAATTTTACATTAAACGCAAATTGATATTTTAAAGTTCTGAAGTAATAAATTCTGAGAGACGATAGTTATTTTATTCTATCACAGGCAACTCATAAGGTAATAAATCCTTCACTTTTTTTTTAATTCGAATATAACAAAACTTAGTAACATAAGATATATTTATATACTTTACATGTATCATCTATAAATCACGTCAAATTCGAAGACAAATAAATATCGATAAAAAAAAACAGAGAATGAGATCAAAGATTCTTCCTTTTTTATGTTGTCAGAGCTTGTTAAGATAAGCTAAATTTCGATTGAATACACTCACGAACTCTACAACTTACATCTTTGATTTTTTACAAGGACTTTTTTTTCTGAATAAATTCTTTTAGCATAGACGTATATAAAAATGTTGACTATTAATTAAAAAGTAATTGACGAATATCTCTCTAACCATATGGGAAAAAAAATCCGAAAATTTTAGATATAAAATCCATTTGTTATTCCTAACTTTTTCAATTTTTTTAATAATTAGTTTGAAAGTCAAAAACAAAAAAATTTCTTTTCAGATTTTTATTTCAACATGGCTAAGGCTGTAGTTAGCGATTCTGAAGTTGATTTAAAAACATTTACTGATTGTATGTATTTTATAAATGGTCATTGTAAATTAAATGATAAATGTCGTTATCGTCATTGTCAAGTAGCTGCTGCACAAACAAATAATTGTTTTAAATGGCCAAAAGTATGTCGTAATACTAAATGTCCTTATCGACATCCTTCAATATCTAAAGTAATTGAAAAGAAAAAAAAATCAATATCCGAATTTCCAGTTATTAATTCAATGTCATTACAAACACCACAAATAATATCACGAAGAGAAGGTTTAATAAGTTTTTTTTGGGATATTGAAAATGTTCCTATACCAAAAGCACAAAAACCTTTTGATATTGTTCAACGTATTCGACAAAAATTAGTTGTTGAAGCTGGTTTAAGAGAATATAGTTTTTCATGTTATTGTAATACAACAACAATATCTCAAGAAAATCAACTTAGTTTATTTCATGCTAATGTTCGTATTGTTCATATACCAGATCGTAAAATTGGTGCAGTTGATCGTCAAATAATGCTTGATTTAGATCGTTTTGAACGTGCTCATCATTCTCCGGCAACAATTGTTCTTATTTCTGGTGATATTGATTTTGTTGGAAAATTAAGTGATCTTCGTCATCAAGCTGGATTTTATGTTATTGTTATTCATAATAAACCAGCAAAAGAAGAATTAAAAGCAACAGTTAATGATCATTTTCCATGGGAATTATTTACACAACAACAACAACGACAACCAATCAATGCAGTTAATAATTCGGAAATATTAACAAATGAAATAAGACCACGAGCACCACAATTATATCGAATGAATAATCAAAATAATAATGGTCAACTATGTCAAATAGATTCATCACCAAATCGTTCAACTGTACCTTCTAAATCATTTCGATCAACTATAACAAAAAAACAAACACATCAATGTCCAAAATGTACAAGTGAATTTGAATCTATACAAGCTTTACGACAACATCAAGAAGTTAAAGATCATTTATTTGATTGTTCAATATGTGATGAAAGTTTTCGAACATTTGAAGGATTAGTTCAACATCAAAAAGCTAAAGATCATCATAAAGCTGATTATAAATGTGGGCAATGTAATCGTCGTTTTGCTAAAATTGAAAGTTTAAGTCAACATCAACAAGCTACTAATCATAATGGATTGTTCGGTCCAGCATCCATGAATATTGATGGTTTTGTACGTGAACTAACATTTCCATCAACATTACCTAATAATAATAATCAATTTACGAATAATAGTGTTCAAGATGCAGCAATGATTATTATTCAAAAAGGTATTGATGCTCTTGTTCAATATTATCCAAAAAGATTTCCATCAAATAAATAAATAAATATAATTTTTTTTTCTTCATAAAAATCATTCTTTTATAATTGTTCATTCAAAAATACAAATAAATAAAATTTCAAAAAATTTGATTTATTGAAATTTATATTTTTGAATGAATAATCAAATACATCATGATATTTTGTTCTCATTAACATGAGAAGTAAAAGAATGATTTAGAAAAAAAAAAAACATACTTGTTTAATACAATCTTCAAATAATAGGAAAAAAAAATTTTTTTCGTTTTATTTGAATAATTAATTTTTTTTTTAATGTTTATTTGTTCTACAATATTTTGTAAGACAAGTAAAAAAAATATATGTATATAATTTGCGATTGTAAGTTAGTCGTACTTTTTTTTTTTTTGTAAATGTATATATGTATATTTATAATAAAATTAAATCTTTCGAATAATAATGTGTTAATAAATTCAACACATATTTTTAATTAATATCGATTGATTCAATTTCGTTATATATACATATATATAATTATCTATTTCAGTTTTATGTAATCTTGATTATAATTAACCGAAATAAATGAATGTTTAATAAGGTGTTTGATCGATTGGTTGAGTATCCATTGACCAGCACTCAAAACAAAAAAGTTTTTCAAGATAAACTTGTTGAATTTTTAAAAGCATCTTGTATTCAAGAATTCAAGGAACCATAATATACTTCAAATTATCAATGATTTATAGATGTTCGAAAATCATGAGTTCGATACTACAGATAGAGTAGTTTTTAAAATTTTTTAAACTTATATATATTCTTCTATTTCTAACAAAAACAAAAACCTTCATATTAATCTGCTTCGTATTTTCTTTCGGCGACTTTCATAGGTCTAATCATTGTTGTAGGTCAATGATTAGTAAGCAAAGATTTGCATGGCAGTGTTCTGCACTAGTATAACTTTTTGCAACCGGAGCTAAGCTACATCGAGCAGATACTTTCACAGTCATAACATGGTTTTCAAACTTTGATTCTATATGAGAAAGTAAGTATACTGTTTAGTTTCTTCCATAAGTAGCAACACAAAAAAAACGAGATCATCTCAACTTCTAAAATTCGATCAATTTCACTAAGTATATGCTTGCTTGCTTGTTGCTGATGACATTAGAACGGAACGTAGTGTTGGTATTGAACGACGAGCCCATCGGATCTGGGTTCGAAAACTTTAGACCTCCGATGTGCTCTATCCTACACATTTCTCAAACGACTTGTCTGAGAAATGTCTAGGATGCACTAGTCATTGAATATAAAAAATCGGAAAAAATCATTTTGTATCTTTGGGATGGTTATTCTATTCCGATTAGAAAGCTTCATTGAAAGTACCAAAATACAGTTCGACCGAGTCCTAAAAACGTTCAATAAATGAGGTTCGGGCCTCATCAGCTCTAGTCAAACGTCATAATTGTGAATGCGATAAAAATTATCCGTAAGAGTTTGTTTTTTGATTAAAGATAGTCAAAATATAGACTTTTTAAGATTTGATTGGTAGCAAAATAATCATCAAGCTGGTTATTATTTATACTATAAAAATCAACGTTATTAATTGAATGTGAGATTAATGTTTGAAAACTATGTGTATGATTTTGATAACGGTGACACTTTTACGTTCTTCTTAGTTTCAAAAAATTTAATTATAAAATCATTAGATGCAAGAAAGAACAAGTGATATGTTCGTGCTATTATCTTCGCAATACAATTATAGTTCATAAGCAGATTTTGTTAATCAAAAGCCATGGATCATGATAATGAGAATAATAGTTATATTTCTATTTCTGTTTGATAGCTATAGTAAATATGTTTTAAAAACTGCGTCAAAATAATAAATAAAAATGTCAACTGATACTTTGTAATGGAAGTGACGTCAGTTCCGTATCAGTCGTCCTTTTTTTGTGTGATACACTCAAGTATTTCGATTTTTGACTGAGTCAACTACATAGTTTCTTCGTAGTGTCGCTTGTTCTTTTTTGCACCTAATGACTTTATAATTAAATTTTCTGAGGCCCTGAAGAACGAAAAATGTTGCCGTTATATAAAAATTGTATACATAATTTTCAAGCATTAATCTCATGTTCACTCAATAACATTGATTTTTATAGTGTGAATACTAGATGACATGATGATTCTTTTGATATTCATCAAATCTTAAAAACTCTATATTTTGACTATATTCGATCGAAAAAGAAATCGTACAAATACTTTTTGCTACACCCGTGCATTCATGCTTTTTCAATTACGATAATTCATCTTCCTTTCCATGTATTCAATCACTTTATCATCTGTAGATGAATTTTCATCGAACAAAAAAAAAAATTAGTAAAACAATATCGCTTTAGACTTCTATGACCTGTTATCAAATACAATAATCACTTCGGTTTTCACTACTATATTTTTACATAAATAGCAATTTGAAAAAGTAAAAATATTTTGAAACATCATGGTCTCATTAATTGCCGGGTCAAGTCGAATGTCCAATACTCCACCAAGTTTCAGGACACTAGTGCACAGTTATCCTATCCTGTACATGTCTACTAGTCTTAGTTTATATCTTTAAATGTTTTTTCTGAAATAGTTTATCTTGACATTAGCGTAGGACTAATATAAATATTCATATTAGTAAGTTTCTGGTCCATATGTTTTTTCCACACGAATAAACAATAGCGAGCCTGGATTAGTAATATTTTTTATCTAGTAAATCGTCTCTTACTTAGATAAACAATAGAATACTATTAATAAAATTCTATTGAAGAAGATTATTATTGAGGAAATAACAATCGATATTTTGATGAATGAAATTTGAAATCTTTTTTATCCAAAAAAAAAAAAAACGGATTTTTTATTTCACGAAAAAAAAAAGAGAAAGAAAAGAAAAAGCATTACATATAAAAGAAAAATCACGCTACAAATCGTGAATACTTAAGATTATTTGTTTGATTATGCAAACGTTGCCAAATGTTTGTATCATCATCAACAACAAGTCGAACCTGTCATGTTTGATCAATGACGGAAAAGAATAAAGTTTTGAGCTTATGCACAAGTAAAATAGAAACAAAAGTTTGTTAAAAAGAAATATGCATTATAATAATGACTAGATAACATTTAAGTTTAAAGAATATTTTTAAATTCATCAAGGAAACATATGAAAATGGTTTTTTTTTTTTTGTTAAATCATGATTTTAATGGTCGATTTTGTTCATCTGATACATAAAGTACATTAGTAGAACCTGTATCATATTGATGAGTATTATTTGTTGATGAACGTATTTGAGAATCAAGATTAGTTGTTAAACTATTTGATAAACGTTTTGTTAATGAATTATATTTTGAATTTTTATTATATAAATATTCATTTTGTGTATCATCATCATGTTGAACAAGTGTAACATAACAATTTTTTGATGATAATGGTAATGCTGGTTCATCACTATCATCTTCAATTGATGTACTATTATTTAAATTATTGTTTGCATCTTTTATTTCATCTGATGTTGTATTTTGTGATAATGGACGTAAACGTTTAAGAACAATAAATAATGAAATAAGAGTAAATACTGTTAAAGCAAGCATTGTTGTCATCATAATATGAAGACGATTTAAAAGAGATGAAGCAAATATTGGACCGACTATGAAAAATAAAAAAGAGAATTTAATTTATATTGCGGTGATAAGATGATCGTATTTCTGATCAATTTAACCTTTAAAATGGCACTAGTGGACTAACCGAACCGAAGACAAGCTTTAAGAAGTATAACTGAAGAATCTCTGCAGACATAGTCACAACGACAGAACTTCTCCAAGTGTATTAACTTACTTTTCAATCGACACGACATTCATTTGATGAGTAATAGAATGGTTTGATTTTCCGAGCTTTCATTCTTGAGATATTGAAATTTTGACTGAGTTTTTCAACACAAAGCTGTAATCATGTGGAAAATCGACTTTCGACTTCAAACTTATTAATAAGATTAGTTCATTGTGTAAATTTTAGAAATTTCGAATATCTTAGGATAGGACATACTAGAAAAGTTACAACTCGTTCTATGAACTAATCCCATTAAGAAGCTTAAAGTCGATTTTTCATATGACTACAGCTTTCTATTGAAAAATCCAGTAAAATATCGATATCTCGAGAATGAAGGGCCTGGAAAAGCAAACCATTCTAGACTTTTCTGTTATTCATCAAATGATCACTTTGACATTTGGAGAGATTCCCTCGTGAGCATTCCTTAAAACTTTGTTCAATTTATGTCGTCTCTAGAAATAATAAATCTAATGAGGGAATTTCATCAGATTATAAAAAGTGTCGAAGTTTAACATAAGCTGTGAATTAGTTGACATATCAGATTTTTATTATAATTAATAAGACTTGTTTGTCTAATATTTTTAGAAAATTTAGATTAATTATCTCGTCAAACGACGCTTTTTTTCTATGATCATTGTATTCTGCATAGATATTTTGAAAAAAGTCATATATCTTAAAGTTAATTTATTCAAAAAATGTTAACACTTTGTAAACAAGTTAAGTCTTGATGTGATCAACATTTCAGACCAAAGTTCGAAATTCTAACTCTACCGAAAAATAGAACATATAGAAAAACAATTATAGTAAAAAGTCGACATCTGAAACAAATAGCCACTTCCTTTTAAGCTATGTTTTATATATGTATATCACTTCGGTTTGTTATCATTTGAGAAAGATATGTTTACTTGTGTATTAGTACTTTTCATTCTTACATAAACATTTCTTATACAGAAGTCTATCTATTTTGACAACTATTCGCATAAATTAATAGTCGTTATCAACTATTGTATACGTACCTATTGTTCCAACACCCATAATTAATCTTTGAATACCTTGTGAAAATCCTTGTAATTCTTTAATAGTTAATTTTGTAAATAATGATACACTAATAGCTGCAAGAAATGGTAAACCAAGTAAATCAAGAATAACGAAAATAATAAATAATAAAAATAAACGTTTATCAATAACACCTGTACTTGATTGACCAGACCAACCATATGAATGTGATGCCCAAGTAAAAAATGTTGCTATTATACAAGCAAGTGTTAATGATATAAAACCAAATACAAGTAAAAATCGATCTTCAAAACGTTTTGATAAAACAAAAACAAGTAATAAATAAACACAAATTATTTCTAAACCAGCAAAAGCAAATAATATAGATGTATCAAATGTATCCCAACTAAAATGTTTTTTTGTGAATGCAGCTACAATTGTTTCTAATGCTGTTTGATTAAAATAAGCTATAAATGTTACACAAAATAAAACAAACATTTCAATACGCATATATTGATTAAAATAAATTTTGTATGATAATTTTTTATGTTCTTGTTTTAATGGTTGATCTGATCTTGTATATTTATGTTTAGGTGAATCATTTGATGCTGATGGTCCTATTGTTGTTGATGGAGTTCGATCATAAAAACAAAACCAACAAACAATATGAAGTATTGACCATATTGATACCATTAGAAATCCTGGACCATTGTAATTATGTACATGAATTGAACCTAACATAGATTTCATTCAAATTTTTATAGGAAAAGAAACTAAGAAAACGAACCTATATGAAAGTTCATCATACGAACAATAAGTGTAAAACATGGACCAATTAGTAGACCTAAAACATTATAAATCTATCGGTTAATTATTTGACATAAACAAGAAAAATTAGGTTTTTTTTATTCATGTATGTATTTCTATATTTGCATAATAGATTTCTCAAATAATAGAAAAGAAAAACAATAGTTCATACCAACTTGTCGACATCCAAGAATAATCGAAATAGCTTTTGTACGATCTTTTTCCGTTGTACGGTGAGCTACATCTGCAAGAATCTATTGATGAACATATAGAATATTAATTAATAAATCATTTCAAAAAAAAACAAAACAAAACAAAACATAAATTCTTACTGGTGGTACAGCACCTAAACCAACTCCGGCAATGAATCGTCCCAATAGGACAATATGAATATGATTTGTAACAAAATATAGAATATTTCCACATATTTCAAATATACTTGATATTAATATAAGAATTTTAACTTTGCCAGTTACATCAGAAATTTTTCCCATAATTACACCAGCTATTGAACCAGATATACTATAAGATGAAAGAATTAATCCAACATAGACATTAATTTTTGTCATTGTCTTAACGTAATCAAATGCAGTTGGTAAAATAACAGCATATTCAACACCGGTCATAAAACCAAATAGACATATTGTACCAAATGTTAACATAACACGTCTATGTCCATGTGTCCAACGAAAAAAATCAGCTGAATGTGTTATTGATGATGATGTTGGTTCTTTTCCATCGTCATCATCTTCTTCAATTCTATCACCAAGATGCACAGATGAATTATTTTTATCATTTGTTGATGATGAAATAATATTATGATCTACATTAGAGTATTGATCATCAGGAAGTGTATGTTCACATGATGATAATACATCTGATTCATTATGATTTAATGATGATCGACGATGTGAATCAGTTACAGATCCATGCATTTCTTCGTTAGTATCTAAATCTAAATGAAAAAAAGAAATATGTATATACAATCGCATCTGTATCAATAAACAAATTTGTTGATTATTAATCTAAAAATTGTACTCAAAAAAAAAAGTCTGGTTTGACTTGTTAACCCGACTTGTTTTTTTTTATTAGGCTTCATTATATCTATTATTCATTGTAGGACAAATAGTACCGTATTATAAGTAATCAAAGATGAAAAGAGAGATAAAAATAAGTGTATTGTGAAGAGTCTAGTCGAGCGATGGGTAAACCAGCATCAACAATAACAAATTTTTTTTTCCTTTCTCGTTGGCTCGACGCGTCGTTTGTTGTTAGCTACGTAAGGAAAGGAGAACTATGTGTATGTGCATGGCAAAGGAGCATGAATTTTTCGGACGGAGAGTCTTTTTTTTTTCTTTTTTTTTCTCTTTCCTTTTCTATGGAGACTTTATTGAGAGAACGGAAGAATTTATGAGTTCAAGATCGGATACACATAACTGTATACATTTCATTAGAATAAAAAAAAAACAATGATCATCATCATTCACATCAATGAAAATTTTTTATAGATGTAATACAGAAAAAAAAATGATATCTAATAATTTCACTTATAAGATTTATGACAAATGATAAAAATCATAACAAGAAAATAATTGAAATCAGAATAAAAAATACATCCGTTTTTGTCGTCTAAAAATATACTATAAAATCGAATCACTATAATTGTTTTGTTTTTTTTTTTGCTTAATCTTTAATAATGAAAAAAAAATCACTAAACTACTAACCAAATACATAAAACCATTTATCATTTAATACCAAAATTATTTCTATAAAGGATGAAAAATAAAATAAAACTATTGTTATAGTTAATAATTGATTAATACTTTCCATCAGTATAAATCAATGCATTCTTTTCTTTAGTCTCACCTGATTACTTTTATGATTGTTATTATTGTGATTAGAAATTTATATTCATTGTTTAGTTGTTGTTGTTTGTTTATGCTTATGCAACCTTTGAATGTCATGTAGGATAATAATTTGAATAAATCGTCGAATCTTTATTATATGAACAATGAAAAGTAGGCAATTATAAAACGTCAAATTCAAATAGAACAAAAGAAAAAATAGTTAAGATTGTCAAGTATAATCTATAAAAAAAAAGTCGACATGTTTGTTCATAAATTTTTTTTGTATAACCAATCCATGCCTACATTTTCAGTCATCAACAACTAAATTTTTTCATGTTCACATGACAATAATAATAATAATAATGATAGTAATAACAAAGGAATAAAAGAAAAAAAAGTAACTTTAACAAGACAATGATATAAAGGATTTTTGTTGTTTCTAGTAAATTGCTTGGCTGTTTAAAACCGTGAGAACCAAAAAAAAAAAAAGATAACAGACCTTATTAGAACTAAAAGAAAAATTGAACTATACAATAGATACGAAAATGGTAACTAACAACAATAGTATAGTGCAAAAAAAAAAGAAAAAGAAAACAAGGAATCATCGGTCAAGAATATTAATCACCACTTGTGTATATAAAAAACAAGCAAATGAATTTAACTGTTCATTTTGTCCATGTCATATGCGACGATGTTCTTTTATCAGTAAAAAATGAACGAAGTAATAATACAGTACCAATAGCAACAATTATTATTAAAATAAATTGTCCTAATGACCATATTTGTACACGTTCTTGTAAATCTTCAGCTCGTGCACGACCAGTTGCTTCACGTAAACGATGATGTGTTTGATAATCAATACATGTTTCAAGGTTTTGATGAATATTACCTACTTTTGTTTCGATCTAGATAAATCAAAAATGATTTATATTTTATATATATATATATATTCTCTTTTTTTTTGTTTTATGTTTAACAAACCATTGTTAATGCACCTTCAGCAACACGTGGACTTGCACCAGTTATTTCATGTTCAGGATCACCATCAACTTTCCAATCTATAAAAATTAAAATAATAAAATCATACTTTATTTCTTTTGCTTTCTATACAAACCAATATAAATAACTTTATGAGTAAATGTTGAAAATTCATTACTAAAACAAAATTCATAAACTCCATCTTCATTAGCAGTTTGTTCAATACGTTCATATTGTTTTTTTGTAGTTTGATATAAAATTTTACCCGATGGACTTTTTAATTCAAGATCAACATCATAATTACCACCAGTTACAACCTATATAATAAATTATTAAGATAAAAATATTATTTTTTTTTTTATATGAAAACTATTTTATTTACTTGAAATTCTAATACATATTTTGAACCAACTTTAAGTTTTTCATGAAAACATTCTTTTGCATTATCAGGTAATTCAAATGTTAATTCAGTTGTATGAATATACTTGAGAATAAAAGCTATTAATAAAAATGAAATACGTAACGATATGGTTAACATTGTCTAAAAGAAAAATAGAACAGATTAGGTGAATAGATTTGTATAATATTTCAATTTGAAATATACACGCAAACACGTTTCATACCTATTAAATTCAACCAATCAGCTTATTACGACCACATCATCATCATTTGCCATCGATACAATCATTCATTCGTCAATGAAAAAGATTTTTTTTTTTTATGGATGTCGCCATATGTACATTTTACTAAGCAACGAATGAAAATTTGATTTGAGTAATGGAAGGAAATTAATAAGAAATAATTATTATTTAGAATTGTGCCAAACTATGGATCCATTATTTCAGGCAATTAGTTTATTTCATCGTCGTCAATATGAATCATGTGTTGAAATAACAACTCGTGTATTGGAAAAAAATCCTAATGATCAAGTAAATCAATTATGAGACTGTTCGGAAATATTCGAGTCATACGTATGAATAAAATTTTCGATTTAATTTTTGATTGCACAGTTGTTTACACATTTAATTAGACTTACAAGAGAATTTTTTCAATTGATTAATCGAACTGAAAATTATCGACCATGAGAAATCTCATTAGGTTCTGCATATGCTGGTTTTCCAGATGAACAAACTTTTCATCAAAAAAAAATTCTTTTCTGATCCGTCTAGATTATAGAGCATATCGAATTACATAGAACTCAATTTTGAAAAACACGAAAGATTGTTCTTTTATAGACAACTCGATATGTTCTATAACCTGAGTAGATCTAAGATGATTTTGGCAAAAATATTTGCTAGAAGCCAGACAATGGCTGACGATGAAATCTCTTCTTGTGTCAAATCGCTTTTCAACTGATACGATGTTCATTTGATGAGTAATAGAAAAATTCTACAATGGTTTCCTTTTTTGGACTTTTGTTCTCGAGATGCTGAAAGTTTGTTGAGTTTTTCAATAAAAAGCTGTGGTCATGTGGAAAATCGAATTTCGACTTCAAACTTCTTAATGAGATTAGTTCATTGAGTGGGTTGTAACTTTTCTAGTAATTGCATTAAGGAATTTGAAGTCGATGGTCGATTTTCAACGTGACCACAGCTTTCTATTGAAAAATACAGTAAAATTTCGGTATTTCGAGAACGAAAGCTCTGAAAACTAAATGATTCTAATCTTGTCTATTACTCGTCAAATGAACATCGTTTTGATCGAAAAGCAAGTTGATACCTGAAGAGGTTCTCTCGTCAGCTCTCATAAAAAATGTGAAGTTTCTATATTGTAGGAGAAGAGTATACTTCCTTTTCGACTTCAAACGGAGGTTGAGCCTCTTCTCTGAAAGTTTTTTTTCTAGCTCTACCACTAAATAGACTGTCGATATTCACAAAGACTATATGGATTTTGCATTTGAAAGTGAGGTTATTTTACTTGCTATAAATTTCTCTTATGAAGGCAGCGCGCCGAAAATATTATCTTTGATCACAATAGAAAGGTTGAAAGTCTTACCTGATCACGTTATTTCTGTGCAGTTCCTGTATATATATATATGTGCCTATGTGTATATTATAATCATTTATTCTATGTCGTGAATCAATCAAAGACTTGTAGAAATAATCATTTGAAAGTTTAGGTAGCATGGTTATTGAAAATGCGTGCATTAACAGAACAATTATATGTTGATGAAACTGAAGTAGCTGATGAAGGTCTTGCTGATATGTTAGATGAAAATGCATTTCATCAAACACCTATGCCTGGTACATCAATAAGACAAGCAACAGCTAATCCAAATACAGGATTAAATGGACCAAGTCCAGCAATGAGACCAATGACTATGTCTGGTCGACCAATAACTGGTATGCTTCGATTGAATACACAATCGACACAAACTGGTAAAACTATGGAAAATGTATTAAAAACTGCTCGTACAGCAGCTACATCAAGACCAGTTACAACAGCTACAGGTCGTTTTGTTCGACTTGGAACAGTGAGTAATTAAAAAAAAAAAAAAGAATTTCATAATTCGAAGTGAATTTTTCAAAAAGCGAAAAAGAAAATCAAGAAAACATTAAAAATTATTTTAAGTCGTTAGCTGGTGTTAAATTAATTCCAAATTTAATTGGTGTATTATTTTGTTCATTATCACCACAAATACATCGACAATTAAGACGATATTCAGGCAAATTAATATATTCTTGAATATGACGTAAAAATTCTAATGAACCATTTTGACATTTTGAAATTTCTTTACTTGCATCACAACAACATTTACAATCAATAAATGATACATTAAAATGATCTTTTAAATAACCATTTAATATTTTTGATGTTTCTTGATTATGATCATTTGTAGATGTTTGTTGTTGAGATGAAGATATATTTGTTGAATTTGATATATAACTCATAATCAATTAAAATAAAAATATGAAAAGAATTTTACGCGCGTGAAATTTTTATTTTTATTTAGGCTTCAATGTTAAGTACACCTGATGGACCATTTATTCAAGTAGGTCGACTTAATCTACCTAAATATGCACAAAATCAAGGTATAGCTCGATCACTTTTTGAACATTTATTTTATCATGCAAATGATGTTAGAACGGTATGAATTTAAAAATGAAAAATTACAATTTTTAATTATTATGTTTATTAAAGGCACTTCAATTAGCTACACATGCTAATGAAATAACACAAAATAAAGATTGGTGGTGGTTAGTACAATTGGGTAAATGTCATCATCGGTAAGTATATATTTTCTTTATTAAATATAAAAACTTAATTTAGATCGTTTTTAGTTTAGATATGTTTCGTGATAGTGAAAAACACTATCTTCTTTCATTAAATATTCAACCTATGGTTGATACATATTTATATTTAGCTAAAGTTTATCTTCGACTTGATCAACCATTACTTGCTATTAGTAAACTACAAGAAGGTTTAGAAAAATTTCCATATGAACCATATTTAGTTCAAGCTATTGCACGTATTTTTGAAGTTCGTCAAAAATTCACTAAAAAAAAAATAACTAATTTTTTCCCTTGAAAATTTTACATTCATAGGGTCTTAATGATATGTCACAAAGTATAGAATATTATCGACAAGTACTAAAATTAAATAATACAAATATTGAAGCAATAGCATGTATAGCAGCAAATCATTTTTATAATGATCAACCTGAAATTTCATTAAAATATTATCGTCGTCTTTTACAAATGGGTGTAACAACATCATCGATATTTACAAATATAGCATTATGTTGTTTTCATGCACAACAATATGATATGATTGTTACTTGTTTTTTAAAAGCTTTAGCAAATGCAACTATAGATGAAGAACAAGCAGATATTTGGTATAATATTGGTGAAATGGCATTAGTATATATATATATATCTAATTTTTATTATAATTGTATTTCTTAATTGAATATATTTACTTTTAGTATACAACAGATATACATTTTGCAATACAATGTTTTCGTTTAGCACTTGTTTATAATAATGATCATGCGGAAGCATATAATAATTTAGGTCTAGTGGAATTACAAAGAGAAAATCATGAAATAGTACAAGCATCTTATTTTTAAATATAAAATTAAAACTAATCGTTTGTTTTTCTTTTTTATTTATTTAGGGTCGAAGTTATTTACAAACAGCTCAAAGTCTTGCACCACATATGTTTGAACCATATTATAATTTGGCTAAATCAATGTATCAAGTAAGCAAAAAAAAAAATCTTTATTTTTAAATAAAAAATATTTGTTTTTTTGTTTTAGCAAGGTGATTTACAAAGTAGTTTTCGTGCAATCAAAAGTTCACTTGATATATACAAAAATCATTCAGATTCAAAACAAATTTTTGATGAACTTAAAAAAATGTTTTCAGAACTTTAAAATATTTGTTGTATGTCAAATTATTGTTTTAGTAATAAATGTAAACATTATTAGTATTATGTAGATATTCATATATATATATATATATATAATCAAATAAAATAAAAAATAATTTAATATTTTCAAATTTATTTTTATCCCGAGTATGTTGCTATAAAACTAAATAATTAGATCATGAAATCAGAAAGAGAATCGATTATATTCATTAGAAACATATTGATATTTGTTAAAGTTCTCTAAGTAAAA